ATAAAGGACGCAGCACCAAGTATTAAAACCTCAGTAAGTGTGCAAATATATATATTATAATCTTTCATGGTATATGTTTGTTTTGGTACGTGTGTGGGGGAGGGGCGACATTATGCCTGGAGCTTACCTGGAGAGGGTTTCGGGGGTCAACGCCCCCGCGGCCCGGTCTGAGACCAGACCTCATGGTTGATCAGGGTCTGATCAACCAGGCTGTTACTGCTGACTGCACGAAAGCTGACATACGTGTAGACAGCCTGTACTGTCTGCACAGACAGCCTATGCTGTCTACCAGCTTAGTTCATATTTTGCACCACTCAGGTGCTGCCCTCTGGGCCTGCTCCAGGTCAGTGGGATGCTGGGCCCACACTCGCTCACTCACACAGTGGCCTAGCAGCAAAACAGAAGGCCTACTAGTTCTCCCTCTCGTGGGATGGCCCTCCTGGGCCATGGGCACAACACACAAGCCTGTGTACCACCACTACATTTCCAAATAAACAGAGAAGCCTCAGGAAGACATATCATTAACCACCCGCTTTCAGCTCTACCAAATAATCACGTTATGAATGGTGTAAAGCGGTGGTCGCAGCAGTTGTGTTTGCCCGGAGAGAGGAAGGAGGAGGTATGAAGTCATCTTCACACTATCACCCTATACAAGCAGCATCCGTTTCTCAACAAGTTATCCTGATGTCGAGTCTGCACGTTTGAGCATCCAGACACAGGTACAAGCAGGATCTAGCTGAAATTTGTCGAATTTCTTCGAGAATTGTAAGTGGCATCCCAGTGACCCCACGATACAGCGTCCCATGCTGTTTCTCAAGTTCAGCGTCACTTGTATGTTCTGCTGTTGTTCAGCTCAGCACAGCTATTTCAGCAAGCCAGAGGTGAGTTTTGTGGTGATTTCTGTGTCCAGTGTGTCTCCCTGTGTTTGTGGGTGGGAGAGGAGGAGGAGGAGGAGGAAGTGGCCGCTCCTCGCCTCGCCCATGCTCGCCCTACTCAGGTTCACCCGTCTACCACTACTCACTCCCTCTGCTGTGTTTTTTTGCTGTTTTTTGTGTGAATTATTTGCCAGTGCTGTGTATCCGAGTGCCCAAGGCCACTTGAAGCCATGTGGATCAGCAAGCCATGCGTATCAGCATGCCACGTAGATCAATAAGCCATGTAGATCAGCAAGCCACGTGGATCAGCATGCCATGTTGATCACGAAGCCACGTGGATCAGCATATCCCGTGGATCAGCACACCATGTAGATCACGACACCACGTGGATTCTGACGCCACGTAGGGTGTGGGCAACGTCACGTGGATCTACAAGCTACGTGGGTTACCAAGCCAGATGTCCCAGGCCTCATGCTGTGGTCTGCTGCCTGCATCACATTGATGTCACCGATGCTGCTGCCCGACTTCATGACGCCACGATGTCTGCTGACGTCACAGTGCTGCTGACGTCACCTCATGACATCACGCCTGACATCACATGATGTCACATTGAGTGTTTCAGTAAATATTTCAGTATTGTAGAGAAGATTGAGAGAAGATATATGTCGTGTGTTAATTAATTCCTCTCACTCAGTGTTCTCACATGTTAGTGTATGGCTTAGTGTCAATTCTGTGCACAGAAAAGTATCATTTGCTAGTTAAGCCATGTTGTACCGCATGTACCGCGGGTGTGTGTAAAGTTTTCCATGTGTCCTGTGGTCTTGAGCCAGACCCCTGAGTAGCACCACTGTGTTAAGTCGCCCGGTGTGACCAGTGCGTTTGACGGCTGATATAAGTCAGCCCCTGAGCGTTTGAGCCCCCTTGTACAGAAAGTTCTTATGCTCATCGCTCATAGATGTTCTGCAGAATTGTACCTGCTACAATTCCCATTGAGATTTGTTTCACTTCACCTCCAGACCTTCAGAGTGCAGTTATGTGTAGAGAAACAAGTCTGGGGATGTGTAGACTAACCTCTGCTATAACTCTAACTGCCGAGAGAATGACACTCGTCAAGCCGCAGTTAGCCCTGTCGGCAGGCGCTGTGTCAGCCTAGTGTCACAAGCTTCAGTGAGCTCCTGCACAAAGATGATGTCACTTTGACTGCTAGCTCGCTCACTGCAGTCTGGTGTATGATGTTACGACTCCCAGATGTTTCGCCCAGTCATCTCTGCCACGACTCGCTCCACACTCACCAGCAGTGACAGCCCAGCGACAGTACCAATCAAGAAGTGTCCTCCTGAGTCGCTTGCCAGAAGTCCTGCCCAGTTGCCGAGTTTTGACGACGCCTCACTCGAGGGCACCAGCATCTCGTGCCCCAGGTTGAGTGAAAACCTGCAGCAACTCCTACAATGACTGCTTCACCGTTCCAGAGGAGACCGTACCCTGTTACGTCACAGCTCAGCCGCAGCGATGTCTCCTGTGTTGCAGTATCTGTCCAGACGCAGAAAAGCATGCAGTGATGCCCTTCGATGCTCACTGCCTTTGACCACGATGTTTAGCACACCCCACATGTTTTTTTCTTCCCTCCCTGTAGGAAGTTTTTTTTTTTCATGTCCATATGTATATATATGTTTTTAATTTGTGTTCTCTGCCCTGTTCCAACGAGAGAGAGATCGAGTTTTTTTTGCCATCAGTACTGTCACGTCGGGACGACGCGCGGTAGGTGGCCGAGCGTATGTAGACAGCCTGTACTGTCTGCACAGACAGCCTATGCTGTCTGCCAGCTTAATTCATATTTCATGCCACTCAGATGCTGCCCTCTGGGCCTGCTCCAGGTCAGTGGGATGCTGGGACCACACTCGCTCACTCACACAGTGGCCTAGCAGGAAGACACAAGGCCTACTAGCTCTCTCCTCTCGTGGGATGGCCCTCCTGGGCCATCGGCACAACACACAAGCCTGTGTACCCACCACGACTTTGCAAATAAAGTAAGAAGCCTCCGAAAGCGTATCATTTACTCACCGCTTGCAGCATTACCAATAAACCCGTTCACATACGAACCACATCCCAGTTGGTTAGGTACTGACTTTAGGTGCCTGTCCAGTGCCGTCTTGAAAACAGCCAGGGGTCTATTGGTAATCCCCCTTATGTATGCTGGGAAGCAACTGAACAGTCTTGGGCCCCGGACACTGATTGTGTTGTCTCTCAGTGTACTCGTGGCGCCCCTGCTTTTCATTGGGGGAATGTTGCATCTCCTAGGAGCCTAGTCTTCTGCTTTCATACGGAGTGATTTTTGTGTGCAGGTTTGGTACCAATCCCTCCAGGACCTTCCATGTGTATATTATCATGTATCTCTCTCGCCTGTGTTCGAGGGGATACAGATGAAGGGCCTTCAACTGTTCCCAGTAGTTTACGTGCCTTATCGTACTTATGTGTGCCGTGAAAGTTCTTTGTACACTCTCCAGGTCTGCAATGTCGCCAGCCTTCAAGGGGGCCATTAGTGTACAGCAGTATTCCTGCCTAGAGATTACAAGCGATTTGAAGAGAATCATCATGGGCTTGGCATCCCTAGTTTTGAAGGTTCTCATTATCCATCCTATCATTTTCCTAGCGGATGAGGTAGATACATTGTTGTGGTCTTTGAAGTCGAGATCCTCTGACATTATCACTCCCGGGTCCTTCACATTACTTTTCCGCTCTATTGTATGGTTAGAATTTGTGGTATACCCTGACACATTTTTAATTTCTTCAAGTTTTCCATATCTGAGTAGTTGAAATTTTTCCTCGTTGAACTTCATATTGTTTTGAGTGGCCCATTCGAAGATTTGGTTGATGTCCACTTGGAGTCTCGCAGTGTCTTCGATGGAGGTCACTGTCATGGTAATCTGGGTGTCATCCGCAAAGGAAGACACGGAGCTATGGCTTACATCTCTGTCTATGTCAGAAATGAGGATGAAGAATAGAATGGGAGATAGTACTGTGCCTTGTGTAACAGAGCTTTTTACTGTGGCTGTCTGGGACTTTACTCTGTTTACTATTACTCTTTGTGTTCTATTTGTCAAGAAGTTGTAGATCTATCTACTAACTTTTCCCGTTATTCCTTTATCCCGCATTTTGTGTGCTATTACACCATGATCCTACATGTCGATAGCCTTCGCAAAGTTTGTGTATACTACATCTGTATTTTGTTTATCCTCTAAAGCATCCAGGACCTTGTCATAGTGGTCCAGTAGCTGAGACAGGCAGGAGCGACCTGCTCTAAACCCGTGACTAGCACTGTATATATATATATATATATATATATATATATATATATATATATATATATATATATATATATATTCACACACACACACACACATATATATATATATATATATATATATATATATATATATATATATATATATATATATATATATATATATATATATATATATGTCGTGCCGAATATGTAAAACTGGTCAATTAGCAAGAACTCATTTAAAATTAAGCCCTTTCTGAAATTTTCTCTTATACGTTTAAAAATATATTTTTTTCATTAATGTTAATGTAAAAATTTTAAATTTTGCAACAAAAGAATCTTAGAAAACTTACCTAACCTTATTATGACAAGAGCAATTTATTTTAGCCTAACCCAACTAAATATATTTTAAATACGTTTAAGATAATTTAATACTAAACAAACACAATCAAATATATTTTTTTCGTTAGGTTCAGAATGATTTTGGCGAAATTATTGCATACACAAATTTTCACTTGTCCTATATAGCAAGATGATCGTTGCTGTTTAAGCCAAGATCGCAAGTTCTGCCTATTCGGCACGACATATATATATATATATATATATATATATATATATATATATATATATATATATATATATATATATATATATATATATATATATATATATATATATATATATATATATTCACACACACACACACACACACACATATATATATATATATATATATATATATATATATATATATATATATATATATATATATATATATATATATATATATATAATATATATATATATATATATATATTTGATAACTTTATTTTTTCTCTCAGATTCATGATGGACCTCCACATTATTCCAACTATGGCTACAGCATGGCCAAACGTATGATTGATGTCATGAATCAGTGCTACCATAGACAGTATGGCTCTAAGTTTACTGCAGTGATTCCTGCAAATTTGTATGGACCCCATGACAACTTCAATCTGGAAGACGGACATGTTTTGTCTGGGCTGATAAATAAGGTTTGTTTAAGTCTGCATTCAATAATACGTACTTCATCTTTTAATCATTATTGTTTTGATACTTGTCTTTAAATTTATATTCACTGTTTTTTAAATTTTGAAATTCTGATTAATAGCAAAATTTTCTGTTTAGCTATTCCCAGAAAGAGATCATATGTTATATTGCTTTAGATTTCCCGTGTGGCAACGAACAACAAAATTCCTTTCATCCGTGGACTGCTTACAGAGTCACACGCAATGTTCACGGTTTTCACAGAGACCCACATAAAGGATCACTTTAACAATGAAATATGAATCCCGGGTTATAACCTATAAAGATGTGACAGAGTGAACAGGTAAAAGGGGGGCAGGGTTGTTGGCCTGTGTATCACAGTCACTTATATGCTTGGAACTACTAAATGCCTCAGAACTAAAACCTGGTCATTGTGGTTGTATACAAGCCTCCGGATTCAACTTCCCAACAATTTAAGAAACAGCTTGTGAACCTAAGGCACCTAAAATGGAGGGATGTAGCAAATAATGTTGTAGCAGAGATAACACCAGGAGGCAGCTAGATGAAAACTCGCATACACACACGAGCTTTTAAATCTCTGCAATAAATTCACCATAAACCAGCAAATAATAGAGCCAACAAGATTGGAGAATACACTGGACCTCATCTTCACTAACAATGATGATCTGATATGAAATATTACCATATCAAAAACAATATACTCAGATCTCAACATAATAGAGATTCAGACATGTATGCGCGGAGGCCCAGACCAGCAAAATGTGATCAGTCACGAGGGAACCTTCACCAAATTCAATTTCAATAGCAAAAACATAACGTGGAACCAAGTCAGGATAAAATAATATAAGATTTCGTTCGGATTTTTAACCCTGAGGGTTAGCCACCCAGGATAACCCAAGAAAGTCAGTGCGTCATCGAGGACTGTCTAACTTATTTCCATTGGGGTCCTCAGTCTTGTCCCCCAGGATACGACCCACACCAGTCGACTAACACCCAGGTACCTATTTGCTGCTAGGTGAACAGGACAACAGGTGTAAGGAAACGTCGAAATGTTTCCACCCGCCGGGAATCGAACCCGGGCCCTCCGTGTGTGAAGCGAGAGCTTTAGCCACCAGGCCACCGGGCCAGGTCCTAAATGATATAAACTGGGAAAATATCCTAAACAACACGGCTCCAAACCTATATCTGGAACAAATTAACTGTGTGGCACTCGAGGTATGCTCAAGACAAGTAGGAGAATAAATAAACTAGAAAGAGAAAGGCGCTCCCTATACAGGCGAAGGCAAAAAATAACAGAGCGGATAACAGAGGCCAGTACATCTGCAATACGTATGGAGACACTGGTCAGAGAAATAGCAAACATCGAATTAAAGCTAAAGGAATCTTACAGGAGTCAAGAAACGCGGGAAGAACTAATAGCCATAAACGAAATTAAAAGAAATGCAAAATATTTCTTTTCTTATACCAAATGAAAGTCGAGAACAACATCCAATATTGGCCCCTACTTAAACAAAGTGGGTCCTACACATATGACAGCAAGGAAATGAGAGAGCTACTCAAGTCCCAATATGACTCAGTTTTTAGCAAGCCGCTAACCAGACTGAGAGTTAAAGACCTAAATAAACTTTTTATGACACAGAATTTGGTAGACTCGAAAATATGATATTATCCTGACGCCAAATGACTTTGAAAATGAGTTAAATGACGTGCCCATGCACTCTGCCCCAGGCCCAGACTTATGGAACTCCGTGTTCATTAAGAACTGCAAGAAACCCCTACCATGTGCTTTTAACATCCTATGCAGAGGGAGCATGGACACTGGGGTCGTCACACAGCTGCTAAAAAACAACAGACATAGTCCCACTACACAAAGGGGGCAGTAAAGCAATAGCAAAGAGTTACACACAGATACCGCTAACATCCCATATCATAAAATCTTTGAAAGGGTTCTAAGAAGCAAGGTCACCACCCATCTGGATACCTGGAGTTTACCTGGAGAGAGTTCCGGGGGTCAACGCCCCAGCGGCCCGGTCTGTGACCAGGCCTCATAGTGGAGCAGAGCCTGATCAACCAGGCTGTTACTGCTGGCTGCACGCAATCCAACGTACGAGCCACAGCCCGGCTGGTCAGGAACCGACTTTAGGTGCTTGTCCAGTGCCTGCTTGAAGACAGCCTGGGGTCTATTGGTAATCCCCCTTATGTATGCTGGGAGGTAGCTGAACAGTCTCGGGCCCCTGAGACTTATTGTATTGTCTCTTAACGTGCTAGTGACACCCCTGCTTTTCATTGAGGGGATGTTGCATCGTCTGCCAAGTCTTTTGCTTTCGTTGTTGTGAGTGATTTTCGTGTGCAAGTTCGGTACTAGTCCCTCTAGGATTTTCCAGGTGTATATAATCATGTATCTCTCCCGCCTGCATTCCAGGGAGTACAGGTTCAGGAACTTCAAGCGCTCCCAGTAATTGAGGTGTTTTATCTCTGTTATGCACGCTGTGAAGGTTCTCTGTATATTTTCTAGGTCAGTAATTTCACCTGCCTTGAAAGATGCTGTTAGTGTGCAGCAATATTCCAGCCTAGATAGAGCAAGCGACCTGAAAAGTGTCATCATGGGCTTGGCACCCCTAGTTTTGAAGGTTCTCATTATCCGTCCTGTCATTTTTCTAGCAGATGCGATTGATACAATGTTATGGTCCTTGAAGGTGAGATCCTCCGACATGATCACTCCCAGGTCTTTGACGTTGGTTTTTCGCTCTATTTTAAGATAAGATAAGATAAGATTTCGTTCGGATTTTTAACCCCGGAGGGTTAGCCACCCAGGATAACCCAAGAAAGTCAGTGCGTCATCGAGGACTGTCTAACTTATTTCCATTGGGGTCCTTAATCTTGTCCCCCAGGATGCGACCCACACCAGTCGACTAACACCCAGGTACCTATTTGCTGCTAGGTGAACAGGACAATAGGTGTAAGGAAACGTGTCGGAATTTCCACCCGCCGGGAATCGAACCCGGGCCCTCCGTGTGTGAAGCGGGAGCTTTAGCCACCAGACCACCGGGCTGGAATTTGTTTTGTACTCTGATGAAGTTTTAATTTCCTCATGTTTACCATATCAGAGTAATTGAAATTTCTCATCGTTGAACTTCATATTGTTTTCTGCAGCCCATTGAAAGATTTGGTTGATGTCCGCCTGGAGCCTTGCAGTGTCTGCAATGGAAGACACTGTCATGTAGATTCGGGTGTCATCTACAAAGGAAAACACGGTGCTGTGGCTGACATCCTTGTCTATGTCAGAAATGAGGATGAGAAACAAGATGGGAGCGAGTACTGTGCCTTGTGGAACAGAGCTTTTCACCGTACCCGCCTCAGATTTTACTCTGTTGACTACTACTCTTTGTCTTCTGTTTGTGAGGAAATTATAGATCCATCTACCAACTTTTCCTGTTATTCCTTTAGCACGCATTTTGTGCGCTATTACGCCATGGTCACACTTATCAAAGACTTTTGCAAAGTCTGTACATATTACATATGCATTCTTTTTGTCTACTAGTGCATCTAGGATATTGTCGTAGTGATCCAGTAGTTGAGACAGACAGGAGCGACCTGCCCTAAACCCATGTTGCCCTGGGTTGTGTAATTGATGGGTTTCTAGATGGGTGGTGATCTTGCTTCTTAGGACCCTTTCAAACATTTTTATGATATGGGATGTTAGTGCTATCGATCTGTAGTTCTTTGCTATTGCTTTACTGCCCCCTTTGTGGAGTGGGGCTATGTCTCTTGTTTTTAGTAGCTGTGGGACGACCCACGTGTCCATGCTCGCTCTGCATACCTGGAGTTTACCTGGAGAGAGTTCCGGGGGTCAACGCCCCCGAGGCCCGGTCTGTGACCAGGCCTCCTGGTGGATCAGAGCCTGATCAACCAGGCTGTTACTGCTGGCTGCACGCAAACCAACGTACGAGCCACAGCCCGGCTGATCAGGAACCGACTTCAGGTGCTTGTCCAGTGCCAGCTTGAAGACTGCCAGGGGTCTGTTGGTAATCCCCCTTGAGTATGCTGGGAGGCAGTTGAACAGTCTCGGGCCCCTGACACTTATTGTATGGTCTCTTAACGTGCTAGTGACACCCCTGCTTTTCATTGGGGGGATGTTGCATCGTCTGCCAAGTCTTTTGCTTTCGTAGTGAGTGATTTTCGTGTGCAAGTTCGGTACTAGTCCCTCTAGGATTTTCCAGGTGTATATAATCATGTATCTCTCCCGCCTGCGTTCCAGGGAATACAGGTTCAGGAACCTCAAGCGCTCCCAGTAATTGAGGTGTTTTATCTCCGTTATGTGCGCCGTGAAGGTTCTCTGTACATTTTCTAGGTCAGCAATTTCACCTGCCTTGAAAGGTGATGTTAGTGTGCAGCAATATTCCAGCCTAGATAGAACAAGTGACCTGAAGAGTGTCATCATGGGTTTGGCATCCCTCGTTTTGAAGGTTCTCATTATCCATCCTGTCATTTTTCTAGCAGATGCGATCGATACAATGTTATGGTCCTTGAAGGTGAGATCCTCCGACATGATCACTCCCAGGTCTTTGACGTTGGTGTTTCGCTCTATTTTGAGGCCAGAATTTGTTTTGTACTCTGATGAAGATTTAATTTCCTCGTGTTTACCATATCTGAGTAATTGAAATTTCTCATCGTTGAACTTCATATTGTTTTCTGCAGCCCACTGAAAGATTTGGTTGATGTCCGCCTGGAGCCTTGCAGTGTCTGCAATGGAAGACACTGTCATGCAGATTCGGGTGTCATCTGCAAAGGAAGACACGGTGCTGTGGCTGACATCCTTGTCTATGTCAGTTATGAGGATGAGAAACAAGATGGGAGCGTGTACTGTGCCTTGTGGAACAGAGCTTTTCACCGTGCCTGCCTCGGACTTTACTCTGTTGACTACTACTCTCTGTGTTCTGTTAGTGAGGAAATTATAGATGCATCGACCGACTTTTCCTGTTATTCC